AAATATATACAATTTCAGAATCAAACAGAGCACTCTCATAATAACGCAACACAATCAGAGACTGGATATACCCCCCCTCCCCTCTCTGGTCGCTACGATGAGGAATTGAAATTATGGGCCAAAAGTTGTATTTACAAGTATTAAAAGTAAACAGAGGACACCAAACCAACTGAGACCCGTCTGTCCGCGGCATCTACGCACTGTACAAAACACACACCTACACACTGTACCACCTACACACTGTACCACACACACACCTACACACTGTACCACACACACCTACAGCTCCTAAAGCATAATCAGGCTACAGCCGTTGTGTATTTTATTATGTGAAGCACTAAATGGTCTTAGAAAAATATCGACTCTTTGTTTGTAGATATCTACTAAACTAAAGCATAGAAATACAGAAAGTAATGTAGGCCTGTTATACTGAGTGATATATATTTTACACACTGCTCTGCTTTCGACACGGCCCTCACAGCTGTTCTCTCTGGAAACATCGCGACGCGATGAAAGCAGTTTCTAAAATAATATCCAGGGAATGCATGCAGAGCTGTCATTGGCTGAGATAAGTCCGGCCGTGCGTCACGACTCTTTGGTTGCGTTCGGATAGTTTAAAAATCAGCTCCTAAGTTCTAACCCTATCTCCTATTCCTTGACCTCTGAGTGAAACGTCACGGGGTTAAGGGATAGTGGATAGGAGAATTCAAAAGGATTTAGGAGAAGAGACTGCGGTACTTTAGAGAATCCGAATGCACTTTCACTATCCGACGTGTTTATGATGCACCAGCGGACGTCATTTTGTGCGTCTGCTGCTGTGGGGAAACTATGGAAACTACAGTTTTCTATACAACGGACTACAACATGGATATAATAAGAACGACGGACTCATCTAGAGACTGCACCTTGCTCTGATGCTGTTGCTTTATGCTTTATGAACAACAGAAAAACATATTCTTCATGACCAAAGTTGGAATTGAAATAAAAAAGTGAAACTTATGCTATTCACCCTCTCCCTCCAGTCCACATTAATACAAATGATCCCAATACGTATGATTGTATGAACTATGAAAATATCTTAAAATCAATACAAATGTATTTATTATAAACGTTAGTCTTTAACACCTATCACTGTGTATATCACCATTCAAACATCTTTTAAAAGTTGAACAAACCCCACACAGCTCAGTGAAATGTTGACTTTATTTGATCATTTCAGTAAAAACTAACTTTCATATTTCTCTTTTTGATTATAATACTGATGAACGTTCAAAACAAAGCACTTTGGCAACTTACCACATACGTTTTAAAATGCTTAATAAGCAACGTAACTTTCATGATATAATTTCTCCGTCATAATCGTTTGTTTCCGTGAACGGCCGACTGTTGTGTGACGCAAATGCTGCGGCTGCAAGGCATTGTGGGGCAGCATTTTCTCCTCTCCTTTCGGTAAGGGAGGTCCAGTGGTTCCTAAGCTAAAGGAGGTTATAAAGGAAGTTTGAAACCTTCTTTCCTTTCATTGGGAGAATTGGAACGGCACTTAACATGGCTGCCACTGACGTACTTCCGGGTCATTTCACTTGGTTAGGAAGGTTCCTAAGCTAAATGGACTATTGGAACGCAGTGGAGCAACGTGGAAGTCTGGCTGTATATGAGAAAAGGAACCTGCTCCTCACTTGATTAATCAATCGATATCTTGATTTCTTCTTTTCTAATGTCAGATTGTTCTGTTGTCTTAGTAATACACTTCAGTAAAAAAACATCTTATTGATATTTAGTTTCCCTTGTAATCCAAAATTTACTGAAAGTAATCAGGTTACATTTATTTTATATTTTGATACTCAGATTAAGTTCCTTGAATTTGTTAAAGGTAGCTAGTATTTGTAACACAATACATATTTAAAGCCTCCCAACACTGGATATGAGAGTAAGAAAATGGAAGAGTAGAGATATTCCCCAAGGAAAAGAGCTGGGGTTTGTGGCAGAGGAAGAAAGAGCTGTCAGGTCGGGGGGGTTCGAGGCAGTGGGTGACCCCCGCGGAGAGTTAAGCAGCTCTGTCCAGAGGCCTGTCAGTCAAGCAGCATGGCGCAGAGCTGCTACACGGCCCAGCACAGAGAAGCAGCGGGCGGCAGCATGTGTCAGCGGAACACACAGAGGCCGGACACGCGCACGCACGCGGACACGCGCACGCGCGCGCACGCACGCACACGCACACACACACACACACACACACACACACACACACACACACACACACACACACACACACACACACACACGGGTATAAGACGGCACATTTGCTCCGAGTCAGTGCATCTGCAAGGTTCCATATGTAGCATTTTTAAACTTGAATAAATCAAAGTAGTGATAACGCTGCATGTACTGTATACCTATAGTGACCAGAGGAGCACATAGCAAATAATAGCATTATAAAATTAGGCATTGTTTCCTAACCCTGTATGGAGATATAAACAATGGTCCTTTGTGCCACAAAAAATATGGATGAGACTGAACACAGCTCAGTGATGCTTTGCCATGTTGTTTGTTTATGGAAATCGCAGTATTCCTGACTCAAAAATGCTGATTATATATTAAAAGTCTCCATGAAGCACATCCTCTTGAAACTAACTTAAAGTAAATGTAGACGCATTAAACAGTGGTTAACATACACTTTAAGATCTATGTGTTTTTCAGGGAAAATGGTCCCCATCAATATGCTGCAACTTTTTAATCGTGTATACTTTCAGCTCAATAAAACGTCTTAAAGATGTTCATTATACACAAAGTATATGAACAAAGCATCAGTTTGCCAAGGAGAATGTCCAATATGTTATGTGCAAAGTTAACATTTTGGCCTGACGATAGCTGGTTTTCATGGCAATTGGCTTTGGATTTTCTTCTTTTGTAACATGTGGTTAACCTGTCTTCATGGTGAAGTCAGAGCAAACGTCATGTGGTTAACACAATTAAATTCAATCAGAAGTATTGTTGACCAAAATATTTGCCAAAAAGATAAGCCAACCAAGCACATTGCTTTTTCCTCTCTCCGGCATCAGCCTTTTCAACTTGCCTTCAGAATAGCTCCTTGCTCTGCAGTATATTTACCTTGCAATAAGTGTTGTTTAAACTATAATGTGATAATGATATACAAACTATTTGTTTTTGTAGGTTGACCCGGAAGTTAGAATCGCTGGGGCTCCCTCTGCCAAAAGCATGGGGATTGGAGTGGACACACATTTATGATACTAACATGCTTTGCTTAGCAGAAAAATCTCTTAACACCACGTTTTTTATTAATAAAGCATAAGTGGAGGTAAGACGCTTAGGTTAAATATTAAGCTAAACAAGCAACATGACATTCACATGAATTCACATAACCAGCACAAAGCCAACTAGTGTTCGGCATCAATAATTATTAGCAATCTCTTTTAGCAACTTGTTCACAACCACTTTTTTAAAGACACTCCAGACCAGACGATCACCAGATTGTATTTACTGAATAATTTTACGTCGAAGAAAAAAAGGTTACGTTATTTGGGTTAACCACGGATCTTGTTTAAGGTGTCTAACCAAAAAAAAAGTGCTTAAAATGCTTTTTAGATAGAGGAGGAAAATCCTGTAGAACTTTACTACGCACTTTAACAAACCCATGTGACTGTAAAGCCAGTACAAAGTTCTCTCATGAGAGGTTCATACGGTCCACGCTCCATCACGCCTGCATATCCCAGAGTTGTAATAATAATAGCAAACCTTTCAAATGTGAACCCAGAGGGGCTACTTGCTCGAATCTTGAACTGATCCCAAGGTATGCACAGACAATATAATGGAGGATGACACAGACTTTTCCGGCACAAGTTGGGTTGAATTCCATCTGTGATTACACTTAAACCACCACTTACACAGAGAAACCGAGCGTCAGCACAATTCAGCAAAGGGGGGGCAATGGAGTGCTTCCACAGAAATAAAGACACATTAGAAATGAAGGGAATGCATGAGACAGACACATGTGGTTATATTTGCACATATTTTTCTGATTGTGTCAGTTGTCTACGTCCCCAGATCTGATGTTGTTTACCAGAGCTTAAACTTGCCTACATGTGTAAATGTGTCAGAATAAAGACAGTAAATGTGAATGTATTTTCTAAGCTCCTTTTGTTAAGAATGGTAAACATTCTCTGTAACAGTTTGTTTTCTAAATATCAGAAATGCTTTCTTGTTTCTATGTTTCGGTGGGTTACGATATATTGAAGAATTAATGGATGCCTGCTGAAATCTACCTCCTTATGTTTCAGTATGCTATCGTGCACCTCATCTTACACACACTGACCCTCTTCATGGATGATGACGGTTCCAATCTACTGTGTTCCATTTCATTTAATTTCTACAGTGATTTTCTGTTGGACCCTGTGAGAGAGTGAGCGTACCTCTCTCTCGTCCTGGTGCAGCCACTGTTTGGGGTTGTCCTCTGTGGCCAGGTAGGCGATCAGGTCCAGGGCGGTCAGTCGGGTTTGCCGTCGGGAGGAGACAAAGATCAGCACTGGTTTGGCTGGGGAGTGGCTGCGTATCGCTGCAAAGACACAAGTTTCAATGTGAATTATTACTTTTCACTGCTTCAGAAACGATTTTATATTATTGTGTGTGCTTTAATGCAAGTGTTTCCAACAATCTGGGTGAGGATAAGAAATGTTCCTTCTTTCTGTCAACAAAAAACAGTGAAAGACTCTTTCTGACTTCGCTACCCTGTCTGTGGTACTCAGCGCTAGGCCCATTAGTTATTTAGTTTGGCTGAGGGAAAACTGAAGATGGATCAAAATGTGGTATAAATTACTTTTAGAAAGTCTGAACAATTGTTTATTTTAAAAGCCTACTTTTTCATAATAACGTTAGCTTAGCAGGAATGATTAAATAGCTCTTTAAATAGATTGAAATAGTACTTTTTGGATCCCAAATTGGAACATTGTTTTGTTACAGAAGCATGTTACCAAGGCATTTCACATGAGTTAATAATATAAATAAAAATAAACAGTGAATATAAACCTAAAACAGTGGAAAGACTTATCTAAAGATAACTTTTATCGAAGCAGCAGTGACTTTATGTAACTCCAGCTCAATGAGAAACCTGTTACAAATGGAACGAACATCTGACATAAAGCATGTGTGAAGGAGGTGTACATGGAGCTGTACCTTGGAAGGTAGGCTTGTTCATGCTGGCCATGCGAGGGCAGTAGTGTTGCCCCGGGAAACCATGGATGTGAACTTCCAGCGGTACAGGGCGAACAGATGGGCGGAAGTTAAACAAACCCACCTGTTACAGAGAAGAAAGGGAGAGGGGTGAGGGGGGGAGAAAAAAGGAAAGAAAAGGGAGAAGAGATTTAATGTGAGCAGCTGGCAACATGGAGCCCATCTGGCTGTAATGTAAACTGTCTGTCACTGTCACTGAGGCCGGAGCACTGCTGGACCCCGCTGCGCTGGTTAACCCTTCATGTGTGTGTTCACTGTGTGATCAGGAGGCAGTGTGTGAACACAACTCAAAGAGTGCTACAGGATGTTGTCAGAGTAAGATGCATTATGTGGTGTGTATACAGTGTTGCAGCGTATCTTTGTAAGAGGAAGTTAGCATCACAAAGGCTCCCTGAACAAAAAGAAAATGGGATCTCTCCATTGGATTTAGGATTATTACAGAAAATAAGCTTTGTGGAAAATGCACATTTATGACACACACATTTTCTTCAGCCAGATAAACTCCATATATAAACACCACTTTTATAATAATTGAAGAATCAATGCAAACACCAGACAAATAAATAGCTATAGTTTAAACAACTTAGCTAACTGTGATGATCGTTACATCAAGGTCACATGACTTCAAGTCACCTCCACTAAGCTAAGGGCAGGGGAATACATCTAGTTTAGCAGGACATCTCCACATATTAACACCAGAAATAAAATGCTAACGTAGGCCTTAGACAAACTACATCACGGCTGTGCGTCACCAACGCTAAGCTAAATACGGCTAATCATCGACGTGATTGTGTTTAGTAATACAGCAACCGTAATGTAGTATCTCCTAAGATTGTGTTAACTACACCTTATTTTGGGTTCAAAAACCCATTGACTACCAGAAGAAGAGAAGTGCTAAACTGCTAATTTATTTTCAAATTCAGGACTCATTCCTACACCAGCTGATAATGATTTGGCCCCAACAGCAGCCAGCAGGCAGATGTATGGAGGACAAGAAGCCCAACCTGCTTCACTAACACTGGGTGTTTCTCAATATCGAGGATGCTTGCTTGGTAGCACATGTCTTCCGAGTCACTTGCTTCAGAAGCGAGGCAAGAATACTTCCTGGCATTCGGAAAACGAAGAATGGAACAGGCTAGCAAGTGTGCAGGTGTGCGTCATATGAGAGGCCCCGTCTGACATTTTCCGCCACAGATTTGGGGAAATTGGTCCGTGCGCAAAGCATTGTAGGGATTTTAAGACCGCGGAGTCTACACATGTGCAGCCTCGAAATTTCTCGAAACAAAGTACGCCGGGCTCTGTAGATTTCCAAGTATGCTGGACATTGGAACAGTCCTTCGGCGGCACTCGACGACGTAGCATGCTTGAAATAGTGGCTCTGGAGCAGCTTTACTCGAGATTGAGAAACACCCCCTGGCCGTTTCTCAATCGCGAGGATGCTTGCTTGGTAGCACATGTCTTCCGAGTCACTTGCTTCAGAAGCTAGGCAAGAATCCTTCCTGGCATTCGGAAAACGAAGAGTGGAACAGGCTAGCAAGTGTGCAGGTGTGTCATATGAGAGGCCCCGCCTTACATTTTCCGCCACAGATTTGGGGAAATTGGTCCGTGCATTGTGCATTGTGGGGATTTTAAGGACGCATGTGCAGCCTCGAAATTACCCCCAAACCAAGGACGCAGCCTCGGTGGAATTCCAAGTATGCTGGAGATTGGAACAGTCCTTCGGCGGCACTCGATGACGTAGAGTCCTTGAAATATTGGCTTGGAAGCCAGTTTCCTCGAGATTAAGAAACGGCCCCTGTCTCCACAGCTCTGTCAACAGACACAAGGTTTGGAAACGTGTCTTTGATAATGCGTTATGACTGATCCCTACAGGGTATATGATATATTGACCAGTTGTGACTGCACAGAAGCAAAAAAAGAGAGACGGAATCGTAAGAATAATTAGTAAAATGTTAGGATGGTAGCAGCGTTTTGTGAGATACATGTGTCTGACACATTGCACAGTATCAAATATAAACTTAAAAAATAAAACATAGAAACGCTCTCATAATGTATGGTATCCAAAACATGCGGTATGTTAACATGGACTTGAATTGACATGTGTCCATCATGTCAAGCAGACTGGTATGTCCAACAGATATTCTCAGGACATCTTACCTTAAAAATAATAATAACAAACTGTTTTTACATTTATTCTGACTACCACTGTCTTTATCATTTTGAATAGTCATTTCTTAAAGGTCCAATATCATGGCCATTTCCACTGATCATAATTCCATTGTTGAGGTCTACTAGAATAGATTTATATTGTGCAATTTTCCAAACTCACATTGGTTTCTCATACAGCATCTCTGTAAAGTACGTGTATTCACTGAATTTCACTCTCTGCCTTTAACGGCTCGTATTAGCTCCAGTAGCTCCAGCCCCCACCCTTCCTGTGAGCACAGTGTGCTCTGATTGGTCGGGACGTTGTGAATCGCACTAAGCTCCGTGGAGGTGTTGTTTCCTTTTTTAGCGATACACAGCGAAACACAGCCAAACTCATCCTGAGCACACACAAAGTCACAGCCGAAGTAAAAACAATAAGTGTGGCTTGATATTGAGTAAGAAAAAGGTTGATAAACGCTGTGAGAATGGGTCTGCAGAGAGAATTTCACCGCGATCCCAACTGTCTGTTATCAGCCTGCAGCCAGGGAGGAGAAATCAGTGGATTGGTCAATTTGGACCAATCAGCGGGGGCTTAACGTAACGGCTCCGCAGACGTAACGTAACGGCTCCACGGATTGGTCCATTTCGTTCCGGGTACGGTTGACATCATGCGTACCCGGAATAATCAAATGGACAATGACGTATCTCCAACGAGGCGTTTTGGGGAGGTATTTTCTGTNTGCACAGCTGATTGCAGCAGGTGAGTGGAGGTTGAGCCGGGAGCCAGGATTGACAACCACCACGCACACACAAACAACACAGACAGGAGGAAACAAACAAACACAAAGGAGACGGCTGGAGCAGTACAGCCACCACAGCGTTACCTAATGCAACTCCACACTACGTCTTACAGTGCCGTGTACCGGAGGGGAGAGAGAGCAGCGAAGGGGGGCGGGAGAGAGAGTAATACGGTTTCCTGATAAAGCTGTGGAGAGTATGTGCTGCAGGGAGGTGGATGCACAACGCACCCAGGAACTAACGCTAGCTCCGGTCCTTTTCCCGTGAGGGAAACTGTGGACTCGATGTCCTGACAGGCTGGTATTTGTGCAACCTGCACAAACACAATACTGCACCATGATTACAAATGGTGAAATACAATGTAAAACTACCGAAAAATACCAGCTCACTAAAACACAACCGCTCAACTCAACGCAACTACTAACTATACCCGCGGTCAGAGAGCGGAGATGTTTACCCTTTGTGATGTAATATGACGCGTTTGACGTATGACCTTAACAAAAAGCCGTTTTTAAGAGAAGAGCTCAAAATTGCTCCTTTCCCTCTGAATTCCTGCCCTTATGTCTCGTAAAACATATCAAATCCTACATTCACTTTTTTAATTGTAATTTTCAAGCAAGTTTAAGCATAAATGTAGAAAACAAAACAACCTGCAAGATGCTCTTTAAATATTGTTTCTTTCATTCGTACAAAAGCAATGTTTAAAATCTAATGTTAGCCAGGCTAGGCTACGTCTGCTGGCTCATACTTAACGGAAAGATCCAACGTTTATTTTGGAGTTCATTTGAGTTTGATATCAATCTGCCATTGGTTGTAGACTCTTATTTAGGATAAAAAAAAATGTCTTGTTACAGTCAAAACTATTTCTTCTTGTTCCGTTCTGGGCATTAGTTTGAACGAGGCCATGCTCCTACAACACTGTAAAGTGTAAACAGCACTCAGACTGCATTATTTGAGATTGTACCTGTGGACACAAACACATTTCAGACGAGCCTCTGGCTAAGGGTGACCAGTTGTCCTCCGATCGACAGTCTAGTGGTAGTTTCTCAGACGTGGAGACTCAGGTTTTTCCATCTGTGTCACAGCTAACAGCCATGGTCATTTAACAGGGGGGTATTTTTCTGCCATTTGACCAACTGATTTATTTAAACAAGGAAAGATGGCACTGTGATCACCATGGTAATAAGTGAATTCTGTAATGTGCTATTTGCTCAGATTCACCGACGGGTGAAATTACAACGGATCTATGTGTAAGTGATTATTTAACTCATGCTGTTGATCTTCATGTTCACACTTAAGGCTGCAGTGACCATTAGGGACAATCAGGTATCGGCTCAATGAAAGATCAGGTTGCAGGGGGGGGGGGGTGGCTCTCATTCAGAAAAACATTGTAAGGAACTTCAGTACACTCAAATACACTTCCCTTCCGATATTTTTGGCCTAAGAACTTTCATTCAGAAAAATACAAAAGTTTACCTCGCTCAAGCTGCCAAAGTGATGCTCTCATCACTGCTGAGAGGATGCAGAAAGACATCAAGGTAGAGATCAGGGGTGTGAGTCAGAGACAGAGCTGCCTGAATCATTACCTGCTGCTCGGGTGATGCAGACTGCTTCAGCGTGAGTGGGCCCTGTATGTGAGTGTTGAATGAGAACACCAACTCACACTCTGACACATGTGAAACATTAAACTCCCCGTGGCATAGTATGAAACCTAAACTTTATATTGAATATTTCTGATCACTTCACTTTCTGTGCTTTGAAATCATAATTCTTCCTATATATTTCTAAACAAATCTTTTAGAGCATTTATTGCTCAGACACTAGTTGCAAAAGTTAAATTGGTGCTACAGGTGCTGTAATACTATCATCTATATGCACATTTTGGTATACCTGTGCCATTGGTGTCGACTTCTTAAATGTACACTTCTTAGTTAGTGCCTTGAAGGTCACCTGTTCTGCAAAATCCACTTTTTAATGTATTTTATACATAAACATGTGTCCCCTTTGTGTAAAGAGATTCTGAAAGTTTCAGGAAAAAAGATTCTCTCTCATTTTGTCCTGATCCATTTATATAAAAAGCTGTCTAAAAATGAGCTGATCAGATTTTTCCCACTTTTT